ACCTACACATTCATTATTGTCCCGTCACGTTGTCACCCTCTTTTATATACCAGACTACCCTATATCTAGTAAATACTAGAGCATTCGCCAAGGTACAGGATAGTTCTAGAAAATACGTGGCGCCACACCAGTCACGTGTCCTCGATGACGCAACAATATCTTGAATAAGTTTAAAGTAACTGCATCAGACAATGCTTCCAACTGTGTGAAAGCTGTTAGTAACATGGATCAAAAGTTAATACATTGAACTTAGTTATCAAGAAGGGACTAAATGCAGGAATGGATCAAGAGATCACATGCTGTTCTAAATTGGCTGAGAATTTCTGTTCAAGTGCTATTGCCAAATATTTTCTGGTAAACAAGCAAACACAACTCAGTTTACCAAAACTCAAATTGGCATTTATGTCATGTTGAAAAGAAATGTAGATTAACAACAACCCATATGTGCAGAACTAATGGAGTTGGGTAAACCAGAGTTAATACTGGAATTAAAAAAGATCAATGTGAAAAAGCTGGTTGAAATTTTGAAGCCTTTTTCAGAAGTTACTCAAGAATTCAGCAATGAATCTTACATCATTGTATCAAGTTTATTAACTATACTGCATCAGTTACACTCATCATTCTAGAATCAGTCAAAGGTGACTCAGGAATGATAGCATAGATTAAACAATCAATGTTTGAGGATCTTGAAAATAGATATACATCAGCTGCCACTGTTAATATTCTGATGAAAATATGCTTTCTGGATGCCAAACTTAAAGATATGCTATGCTCAAAGAAAAAAAAATGTGTAATATGATAAAGGATCAAATTATCCAACTATTGACACCAAATTCTTAGCTGTTTAGGGGAAATGAGCAAAGTCAGTCCATTGTGAAGGGACACCTTCATGCAGGTTCATTGCCCATGAAATATAAGAAAAAGAAAATGTGTAATATGATAAAGGATCAAATTATCCAACTATTGACACCAAATTCTTAGCTGTTTAGGGGAAATGAGCAAAGTCAGTCCATTGTGAAGGGACACCTTCATGTAGGTTCATTGCCCATGAAATTCAAGAACTAAACTACCAACAAAGAAAAAAAATCTGCTTGTTTAAAGCTGATGATGTCTATTTACAAGAATAAGAACATGTCATAGTCAAGAAATATCCTGAAATGATTGCTGAAGAGCAAGTGAATAGATACGTGTGGTCAATTCAGATTCTGGGCAGTTAATGTTCATTTGTACCACAACTCAGAAGACTTACAGCAACCAGCACCCATGCAGAAATGTTGTTTAGTAGTGCAGGTCATATTTTAAATGCCAGTCAAGTCTCACTGGATCTATAGAATGTTACCATGTTAACCTTCCTTAGCTATACTATTGTTACGACAGCGGAAGTCACGTGACGCTAGTAACACGTCATGAGCTTCTAGAAAATTCATGTCCCTTCGTGAAGCCTCGAGTGTTCACTAGATGTTCGGTATTCTTGTATATAAGACCGCCAGGAAGTGACAGCAACGATGGAATGGAATTGAATTGCAGACAGAGATAGAGACGGACAATTGAGTCGAGCACGTGAATTATAGCGTTTGTTTAAGTTATAGCGTGAATGTGGAAATTAAGTGTATTGCAAAGTTGTATTGAGAAAGAATAAACTAGTTTTATTTAAGAAAGGACTTGTATCGCTAAAGTTTCTTCGGAAAGAAATTATACGTGAAATTAACTAATGACCTGGGACGTAATAATATTTAATATTGTTAATTGTTGACTTTTCCTGAGAACTAGTCATTCAAACTTTTAACAAAGTGAAGTTAAATATATATATTTTGTTAAATGACGATATAAGCATTATGATATTTATGTTTCTACTTTCTACTGTATAATCTGTGTTGTGTTTCTTAGTTTCTGTAATTTTAAATAAACTATAACTGTTTTTTTTTCTACATTGTTATTTTGTGTATGTGTTATGTTTGTAACATCAGATACAGCACTTATGGACTCAACATTGTTGTGACCATGTTTATAAACATGTAAAATAATACTGAATTGTCTGAAATAATAAGTCTGGAAACGTATACACACTACACAATATTGTGCAAAAGATTACTAATAAGTGAATAAATATGTCATTGTTTCTAAATTTTAAGCAATAAAGTTGCCTTGCATGTATGACACATTTTCATGTTCAAAGTTCAGAATTAAAAATGTAACTTAATTCTAAATGACTATGCTTGAAGTCTGGAGACAGGGTCTCTTCTGAATTTTGTTATTTTTGCCATTTGATAAAGTTTATGAAACATAAGTTTTAAAGTTAATTTCATACACTAATTCTAAATATATTTCAATAATCTTAACCCAAAGATATTTTAGAATCAATATTTTGTCATTTTCTGACATTTACTTAAGGTAATTCATGAAAAAAAACAATATATTTTCAATTTACACAGCTGCAGAATTTTGCCTCTAAACAAAACAACCCACTTGTCAATTTATTTTAGCATACATTAACCATTTCTTGATTTTCAAGTACTTCCCTCAATTTTTGTACATGCCTTGGACCTTGGTTGAAATTTTGTTAAGGTACCACATTAAGTGGTTTGATCGTTTACTAATGAAAAACAGCTATAAAGGAAGTTTAGATATGATTGGATACTATGAAGAAAGCAATAATTAATTATCAGATAATAGTAAAATAAATATATAGGTTTAATTTTTTAAAGTTTCTGCCCTTTCAGTTTCTTTTGTTTGTGAACTGTGCAAGTATTTGTGTGTTTGAAAGTTACAGAAATTTTCTGCAATGAAAATAATTCAGATAACTTGTAATAAGGTAAGCTTATACATTTTAAAGACAGGTTGAATAGGTAAAAGAGATTATTACAAGTTTAACACAATAATAAATGTACAATGTTTGGAGAAGGTTTTGTGATCATCATGTACAAGTAGTTTACCCAGACACAGGAAGATATATACTCAAAATTAAACAAAGTCATACAACTGGAGATTTATTAAGGTTTAATAAAGATATCTGTTGATGTCTGGTTCTTTGATTAAAATTATGGTATTTTTAGTTTTCAATAGATATACTATGGTTTTGTTGAGCTGTAATGCTTGTAAACATGAGTTTTATTTTTATGTTTACCAAATAAGGTTAGATAAGTTCACTGTCAACATGGCAAGTATGGTGGACAAGTGCAAAATATTCTGATGAATAAAACCTATGATGAGTATTATTTTCATGTTCATGTTATTCAAACAACATATAATCATGATTCTTTTAAAAAATAAGACAATATCAACCTTACTGCCAAATGATGATAGAAAAGTTAAATATGTTTTTATCATTATATTTACAGTAGATTAGTATGGGATTACTACATCTTTTAAAAAGACACATAATAGTGATTGCATATTGGTGATGTTTGGCTGACAATAATTGATTCATTCACAAAGTATTATGTTTATGTGAAATATATTACACAGGAATAAAATACTATTTGAAAAAGTCATAAAGATGACACACATAGGCACCTTTCTGTTTTTCTTGCATTGACATGTTGGTAGGGGACACGCATGTACTAATCGATTAGTGAATCTATCGACTAACCCTTTGACTATGACCTACAGTGAGTATGCAACTCTCATGAAAGTTCTTTACAAAAATGAAACTAGTGGATGAAATACTTTTAAATTTGAGATGAAAGGTTCTATAAGTATGTAGTTTTGAAAAATAAAATATTTAATTTTGATTTTTCAAAGTAAAGTTTTTCTCATGCCTTTTTTCTTTTCGCATGCTGCCTATCCAACATGCAAAGTAATTTTCATTTTAAGATAAAAAATACTTTTATGCATCAGAAATTTTCAAACTTCACATGTGAAATCCTTATAATATACAGTTATCAATCGTTTCTTAAGAAAACCATATATTACTCGTATCACCACTATACTGATTCTATATTGATTTAAATTATTCATAATATGCTCTATGCAATGGTATTTGAACTTTATCTGTAGTTGTTTCTAAAGCTGAGTTTCATTAGTAGATTTCACATCACTTGTTATGAAGTCATAAAAGAGTGGGAATAAGACACTGTACTTATATAATCAAAGAAAGAGAATAAATTAAAATAGTATGAGAATGAAAATTCTGTAAGAAATAAAGCCAAAGTATGATATTTTATCAGCAGATATAAACCTATACTTTGGAAAGATTATAAAAATTCTAAAAAAATTGTATGTGCATCGTTTATGGGCAAAAGCTCCTCCAAGCTGTACAGAAATGTAAGTTTGAACACTAAAAACAAATTTTTTTTGAACTACACTAAATAAAAGTTACAAAATACCAGACCTAAAATATGTTTGGATACAAAATTTTTGAATACAGTTACCATCACTGTTTTTACTTAAATCTTGAAAGATGAACATATTAGATGTAGTTCCTCCAATGGACAACAAAGATGAGATGCCAGAGAAAAGGTAAGGTGTTGAATTTGATAAGAAGACACCTGGAACAAAGTATAGGAGGAGGAGGTCAAAAGGAAGGAATAAGCCAATCGAATCGAAAGCCAAACCCAATTGGTGAGGGTGGAAGGAGAAAGATTACAAACAGAGGATGACTGCCAAG